ACACAGTTCTTGAATCGTGGACACAAGGCTTTAAAGACAACCAATATTCAGATCGTGTATTCAAGACCGTCTTAGGATCATCTTGAGATACTCCCGTAGCCAGTGAAATGTTCTGTAACGTTTAGATGAATTCAAGACGGGCTTGAGCATAAGATCTGACTGTGAATACCGGTCTGAGGGGAGGAAGAAATATAAAACTCGTATCTCCGGATTGTAGATTATTCGGACATAAAAGCGGACGCGAAGCGACAGGTACATTTCACCACGTTGTACGGAGTCCTGCTTCAATTTCTCGGCGAGGCAAACATGCCCAACGTCGCCGAGCTGATGGGCATTTACGGCAGGATGTGCACCAACAGCTTCAACATACTAGACGTCAATATGAACACCATTGGAGTTGGCATTTACCTGGGAGCGTCTGTGATGGATCACAGTTGCAGGCCCAACGCAGTCGCCGTTTTCGAGGGGACCACCATCGTCGTCAGGACAGTGACGGATCTGCCCTCTTTGGACTGGTCGCAGGCAAGCATTGACAAAGATGCGAACTTCAATGGTCAAGAAGCATTTGACTTGTATTGTCCTATGACTCTCACGAGTTTGCGACAAAGGATGAACCGCTGACCAAAATCGTGTACACCTATGCCTACTAATGCCCAGTGGGTATCGCTGTATCTTATTTATCTTGTTTTAATGCCCCCAGCAAGGCCTAATGCCCGAAAAATGCCGCAAATATGTACACCGCCGATGCCTTCAGCGGTTTACCCCTCGGTCCGCGATTAAAAACTGATTAATGTACTTGGAAAATGCTGTGCGTTTGTGTAATGATTTGATTTTACGCAGATAAGAATCTCGTACGTGGATCTGCTCAATTCTAACAAGGACAGGCGCGAGGAACTGCACAGCTCGTACTACTTCTGGTGCGATTGCGAGAGATGTAAAAGCGAGGAACCAATGGCCGAGGCGGCCGCGTGCCCGAGCTCGTCGTGCGACTCGCCGTGTTCGGTTGAAGCCGACGAATGCGGGAAATGCGGCGCGAGAATATCGGAAGAGTTTAAGCAGACATTTCGGGAAGTCGTCGATTTTACCGCTCATCACTTGGAAAAGATGAAAACTATGGCCTGTATCCTTTTAATGTTCACATAGAGAAACATTATTTTATCTTAACAGAGACATGAAATTTTTAAGCAACACCCTTGTTCCATACAATACTAAAATCTCACTCGATATTTCCTTATTAATGGCAATAGATCTTGACGTTAGTAAGATATGCTTGAAGAAGCAGAAGGGTGTAATGCACAAGTTTAATATACAACACGTCCGTACTCTGGAAATGGCTCATATCGCGGCTATGAATCTGGAGTGTTGGGAAGATGCGGAGTTTTATGGAAACGAACTCGTACCAGGATATTTGTAAGTGCTTACTTATGCAAAGTATTAACATTAATGTCTTCACTTTTTACATTCGCTTATTTTACTTATCACAGCATTGCGATAAGTTATCAGAGTGTATACCTGGCTATAGTTAGCTGAGAATAATTGATGCGAAACGTGTAAACCTTATGAATCTTATTAAAATATAAAATTAATAATCTCAGTTGAGCATTTCGTTACTTTTTCAGAATGTACTACGGGGAGATACACCCTCTGACGGGATTGCTGTATCTCACGACAGGAAAGATACAATTGCACCTGGGAAAACCGAAAGAAGGGCTCAGGGCGTTGAATAAAGCGAGCGCGGTGCTGACGATAACGCACGGTAATAAGCACTCCCTGGTGCAAGAGGAATTGAGACCTTTGCTCTATCAAGCTGCGATGGAGTCGAGCGGTGATACTCACGGCGTGTAGCGATCTGATATTTTTGTAATTTTTAGCAATAAATTATTTTCTAGATACAATTAAAGCTCGACATACATATATCTCTTTTATATTTTATTTTAGCGTCCCCACAATATTTAGCAAGTACAAATCTGAATGTGCAATATGCTAGGACTTGGTCAAAGTTCTAGTTTCGAGAAATGTGTAGCCAATCAACTTGCAGCTTTTCCGTAAAGGCCAATGTTCACGATGCTAGAACTTGGTCCAAGTTTTAGTTTATCGAAACTAGAACTTGGACCGGGTTCTAGCATCGTGAACATTGGGCTAGAAGGCCTGTGTCCACGATGCTAGAACTTGGACCAAGTCCTAGCATCGTGGACACAGGCCTTAAAAGCCCAATGTCCACGATGCTAGAACTTGGTCCAAGTTCTAGTTTCGAGAAATCTGTAGCCAATCAACGTGCAGCTTTCCCGTACAAGATGCAGGTTGATTGGCTACATATTTCTCGGAGCTAGAACTTGGACACAGTTCTTGGATCGTGGACACGAGGCTTAAGTTCTATGACACATATGCATATCTGTCTCTCTCGCAGGAATTTGACGAAAAATGGCGGATACTAACCTTACCGGCGATATGGCCAGACTCTAATTAGAGGGGGGTCTCTAGGCACGTCGAGAGCGATCGCGTCGGCGCTGCCAACTGTGCGGCGTCCAGAGAGAGAGAAACAGCTGCTGCATATATGACAGCTGTCTCAGAGCGGAGTCGCGTGAGTCGCGTCCAGTGGCGAGAGATCCGGCTTCGTCCGCGGAGCTCGGGGCGTGTGACACGTGCGGTAAGCGCGATTCTCCGACGAATCGTCCCTGGGATAGTCCCGGCCGCAGACTCGCCCGACGACGCTGTGGGAAGAAATTCAGTTTCGGTTAGAACGTTGGGCCTCGTTCGCGAGGATGCGTGGGTTTTAATCGTTTCGATGCTTGCGCGTATCTCCTCTCTCCACTTCGAGGGGGAATACGGCGCTTTATGAGTAACAATGTAGACAGAATTCATCGACGCCGTTATCATGTAGAGCAATTAAGTTATCTATCATCCATCATTCGCAATATGTTTTTAGTTTGCGCCGTAAACCGCCAAGTGTCCACCGACAATCGTCTTTTATTTAATATATAAAAATACGATTAAAATATGCTACTTATTTTACAAGTGCTTCTGCTACTCCCGTTCTATTTTTTATATCTAATATATTTTCCACAGGTGTTCGTGGTCGGTTCACCTTTTTAAACGTCAGAGTTAATTTCCTTGAACTGATGCTTCTTTGAGGAACGATGTTTTCTGCCATTAAGAGATTAACCGGGAAGTCTGACGGAGTCGGCAATGCGTCTCCCAGGCCGGCCCACCAGTCCATGCCGACGAATCTTCAGAGGAAGTTTGCGAAGGGCGTGCAATACAACAGTAAGCGAATGCGTGTACCCTAGACGTAGGCGATGGAGTGGAGCACCAGTTGTAACCCAAACTTTACGCATTATTTTTAGTGAAGATAATAATAAAGGGGGACAGGAATGTAGGAAAGACATGTTTATTCTATAGACTGCAGGGGCAAAAGTTTATCGAAGAGTATATACCCACGGAAGAGATACAAGTGGCGAGTATACAGTGGAATTACAAGGCCACCGACGACGTGGTGAAGGTGGAGGTGTGGGATGTCGTAGATCGCGGCAGGCGCCGGCGGAAGCTGGAGGGTCTGAAGATGGATAACGCGCCGGCGAGCGCGGAGAACGCGATCGAGGAGCCGGCGCTAGACGCCGAGTTCCTCGACGTTTACAAGGGCACCAACGGAGTCATTATCGTGATGGACATCACGAAGAACTGGACGTTCGATTACGTCCAACGCGAGCTGCCCAAGATCCCCGGCCACATACCGGTCATTGTCCTCGGCAACCACTGCGACATGTCGCATCACAGAACCGTCACCGCGGATCACGTCACGTACTTCATAGATTCGCTGCACGAGAGAACGGCACAAGTAATTGACACAACTATCGATGTAATAATTATCGTGCATCGCCAGTGAATGTTTCTTTCCAGCGGTGAATTAAAAAAAGCTTCAACTTAATTGCCTTAAACTGATCAGAAATTCTTCAGGGTCGCCAGCAAAAATTAACAACATCAAATTTGGTTGACCATATCTGGCAATTTGAATGGTTTAGTATCGCGATACTATGTTAAACCGTCGTGCTTTGATGAAAGTTTTGGTAACGCCGTGGCTTTCTACATATAATAAAAGAGAGAATTAAATCTTGAAATCTTTGAAGAAAAATATAAACCATGTTTTATTAACTCGACTTTACTAGTCAATTCCTTGAAAAGAAAACTTATGTAATTTATATCGAGCAATATTCGTAACTCTGTTACAACTAGGGCAGTTCGTTTAATTCTGAATTTACGTGAACTGTTACAGGTGAGATATGCGGAGTCGTCGATGCGAAATGGCTTCGGCCTAAAGTTGCTGCACAAATTTTTTAACCTACCGTTTCTGCAGCTGCAGCGCGAGACACTGCTGAAGCAGCTCGAAACCAACGAGGAGGAGACGCGTCTGACTATCCAAGAGCTCGATCTCTTCCAGGACAGCGACGACGCTGACTACAACAAATTCCTAGACAATCTCGTGAATCGTAGAAGAGCCCTCGCCGACTCGGTGTCCGCCAGCAATCTAGTCTCAAATGTCCCGTCGTCCGCGAGCAACTACCACCTCGCATCCTCCGGCACGAATGCCGCCGGCGAAGTCAAAAGGTCGACTTCGATGCCCGGTCCGATCGGCGGCGGAACTCCGATCCCGGTGAAAAATTTGGAGATCAAGTCGTTACCGAGGAAGGAGAGCTCTGCGGCGAGCACATCGGATAACGTATCTAGCTCTACGAAAACGTCGCAGATTGCGACAGCGTCCGTTTCGCAAAGTTCCGCTGCTAAAATAGAAGCGGCCAAACCGGCCGAATCTGCCAATAACAGCGTCGAGAAGAAAGACTCGCTCAATCGATCGTCGTCGCTCATGTCCAAGATCTTCGGTCACAAGAAGGAAGACGAGACGGACGGAAAAGTGCCAAATATAAAAAACGTTAGCTTGAACGCACCGTTGACTAGTGTTGAAGACTTCGTGCCGGACGGGATGCTGGACAAGTCATTTTTGGAAGGTCTAAGTTCCAACTCCCTCACCCCAGAGCCAGATCCCCTTGCGCCTTCTCAAGAAGACGCGGAGTCTGAGAGGTAGGCGCAGAGCTATCTAAAACTATCTCAAACTATCCTATATTTTAAAAAAATGCAAGCAGAACATTAATTGTGCTTTATACTCGCAAAGCAAATTGCCTTTTCCCAGACAGCACACGATATCCTATGGATGTCCTGGGAACATTCTTAGGACATAAGGACGTCCAGAGGATGTCTTTAAAACGTCTTCAGGACATCTGTGCTGTCTGGGTTCTTTTGTACAAATTTGTTTTAATAATTAAGGATTTTTAATTGTGACGACAAACACTTCTATTAATATTAAAAGAAGTCTGTCTATAAAATTATCGTTACTATTTCTTAAAAGACAAAACATTTGTTTCTATTTACCTTTTTATCTTCCCGCGCAGTTTTTTCAATTAATATAATTTAATTCTTTGGTATATTATAAACACAATCTATATTCACATTGGGAATTATTTTTGGTTTTGTATCGTCGCAATTGTAATCAGTATAATAATATAATTTTGTTCACACAGTGACATGGAGACTGGTAATCCTCTGGTAGCCGGTTACGAGGATGACTTGTCGTCCATCGAAGAAGTAGCCTCTCCCGTACAGCCAAAATTAGCAGAGAATCCGCTGTCCAAACAAAAGCACAAATTAGAATCATTATCAGGTCCGGAGATAAATATCGAGAAGCCAAAAGAAGTCACGAAACGCGACTCTGTCTCCTCTATAGAGCAAGAATTGCGTATCTCAAATGAATATGAATCGAACGAGCAGGCAGACATAAGCTCAGACGCTTTCGACAGCTGGTTACGACGGGATTCCAAGTGGCGGCAGAGTCCTGAAGGGGGCGAAGATGTGAGTAGTACCAGTACCAGGAAGGACAGACTGGAATTGAGCGACAAGAGTCTGGACGTCAGCGTGACGAGTTCCAATGTTCACTTGGAGCTGCTCGATGACACTAGTACACGCCACGTGAGTTCCAATGCCAGTAGTCCGGTGATGAAGGAGAAAAAGAAACACAAAGAGAAGGTAATTGTTTTCAATAATGAGAAAAAAAAGACAATCCTCGGCTGAGCTACATAGAGAAACAAGAGCGTACTCGGTTATCGTGATGGATTATCCGAGTTGTGAACTTATTATTTATTTCTTTGCCGATTCCAGGGGGATGAGAAGGAGAAGAGGAAAAAGAAAAAGTCGAAGGACAAGGATAAGGATAAAGAGAAAACGGAGAAAACGGAGAAGAAGAAGAAACGCTCGTCGCATCGAACGAAGGAAGATCGAGAGCGGGACGAGCTCGAGGAATTTTTGAACGGCTCGATCACGAGAATCGGCGTCGATGTGGCCTACGAGGCGATTTAGCATTCCGGATTTATTATTATTATATTATCGGTAATATGATTTTTAAAAGCCCCGCTCATCTTCCAAACAAAAAAAGACTTTGCTCTCTTCAATGTAATGTATGTTACGCTCTCGGAAGCGTAGAAATAAGATTGTTTTTCGCGAAAGAGAAATAATACGTTTCGGATTCTGCGCTGTTAAATCTGCGAAGGATTCCATACGGCACAGTTCTCCTGAAGTCATCTTAAGGCCTGTGTCCACGATGCTAGAACTTGGTCCAAGTTATTCTATTTCCGAAAATAGTGTGGCCAATCAGCTTGCAGCTTTTATGGAATAGCTGCAGGTTGATTGGCTACACATTTCTTGAGGCCTGTGTCCACGATGCTAGAACTTGA